TCACAATAAGAGATTATAGGTACACACATTTGCGTCCGGACAATAACTTTATCATGCATCGAAGGATTTTAAAATAACTTAGCACAAATGTGTACCACATCAAGATAACGTGTTGTGTGTAAGACCCATGTTCCAATACGGACGGTTCAAAAGAAGGTTGCAAAGTAGGTGCGGCTGTGTTTGAAAATAATTTTACATCTAGTATGAGGCTACCAGATAATGCATCAATTTTTACTGCAAAGCAAAAGCTATCGATTTAGCATTGTCATACCTAGCACAGCATACCCATGATAAATTTGTGATATTTTCTGTCTCGCTTTATGTTAAAATATCCATTAAAAATAAAAAATCTGACAATATCATGATAAAGAAACTTCTTTTACGATTTCATGATATACTAAAAACAAAATCTGTTAAATTATATTGGATTCCAAGTCATGTAGGTATACGAGGAAATGAATTGAAAAAGTAGATGCTTTAGCTAAACAATCATTAAATTTTCAAAAAAACTGACTTACCTGCTTGTGATTTTAGACCGACTATAAATAAACTCGGAAAGCAAATTGGGACAATGCCGTTTTTAATAACCTTCACGATATAAACACATCTCTTGATGTTTCACCATCTCTATCTCTGTCAAACCGCCGTGATCAAACAGTTCTTCTTCGATGCCGCATTGGACACACTAAAAATACCCACTCTTATCTCCTCACAAATGACAATGCCCCTTTCTGTGTAGGTTGTAATAAAAATGTTACTGTCAAGCATTTTCTTCTTGAATGTCATGCTTTTTCACATGCCCGTAACAGATTTTATTCTGTAAATTCACTCAAAGAACTCTTTAATACAATTCCATCAAAAAACATCATTGATTAATTGAAAGAGATAAACTTGTATTGTAGGATCTAATTTGCTCATTTTTATTGTCATTTACAAAGTTTTACATAACATTTTAAACCTATTATAGCATTTGGCACGATATGGCCAGTTATGTGTTGACGTGCCGTAAAAATTCAAACAAACAAAGAAAAACCAACCTCCATGGTTAAGGTTACACTTATAGTTTGAAGATACGTATGCTCATAAGAAGAGTTTGAAGGTACACATTACTTTCCAAACTGAAACATTGCCATGCATTGGAGGATTTTAAAATAACTAAAATGTCTACCACATCAAGATGATGTGTCGCATCCAAGATCATTGTCCGAAGTAGTTAAGTTTGCTTTAAATAGCATTTCATTTTCACAAGAACAATATTAAGCAATTAGTTACTTTTATTCTCTTTTTTTTCATAATACCTGCAAAGCTTAAGAAACCTTTTCAGGGGCATTTGTCACTGGTGTGACAGCTCTTGTTACATTATATTTTAAGACAAATATATGAAAAGTAAGAAGTTTGAATAACAAATATGAAGTAACTTTTAAAAAAGCGATGTTTGCTTCCGTTCAATGATAAGAATTTTATCTTCATTAAATAACAACGATACAATGTTAACTTGTTTTATCAATAAATCAATCTATCAATAAAGGCAATCAATAATATAAAGATAAAGAAGTATTTCCGTCCCTTGATCAGGTAGAAGTCGTAAAATATCACCCCTAACATTTAATCACAATCATTATAGTTCCAATCCTGATCGACATCATTGTTGTCTTTATGTTATGTTTAGTTCTTTCTACGTGGTCCTTTGTCTTACTGTGTGGTTCCATATTTTTTTCTATTTTCCCTTATTCAAAATTGTTGAATTATATTTAAGACATGTTGCCTGCTTTTTAAATTTAATTTGTATTCTGCTGTTTTGAGTATGATGCGCAGGCTTCATAAGAGGTTCATTGATAACCGCCGTATTATAAATTCAAAATTCTACCATTAAGTTGAATCTTGAATTCTGCTTCAGTTGGTGCTAGGGGGCGTGAACGGTAGCTTGCCTTTTCAAGTACAGTCCAGAAACAGGCTCAATCAAACCAAGCCTGGAACATTTTCAATTTTGCCGTTTACAAGGAAGTATTTTTTCTTTATTTCATAATCTCAAATTCTGTTTCAAAATTCCATTGGATTTAGGTATGCTATTTTTTTTTTCGTTATGATACACATATTCTTAAGCTGTTTTCATCAAATGGCACGTTAATCTGCAAATGATTAAAAAGTACAATAAGTTAATATTGAATTTTGTTTTAAGATCGGTGTAATGGGCGGACGTGGACTGTAGCTTTTAAATTCACCACTTCGTAGAAATGTTTTTTTATGTAATGGAGGTGAAGAGGAAATGACCAAACTTCAAAGCAGAGTTATCTATTTATCATCGGAAGGTTAAATGAAACAATTCATGTCAAAATGGCATATATGCCACACCCCTTACCTTTAACTGGTAGTAATGATAAGTAACCACTATGAATATCACAGAGAAATTGATAATGTTATGTAATGGAAAAATGGGTTGAAATAATTTTAACAAAGACATTTCTAGTGCAATTTGATACAAAATTATTGTTTAACAAACTGCATATTATTATTTTCACCTAGTTCTAAATCTTAAATTTGTTTTGTCATGCTTAACAAAACTGTTAAGTCATAAACAAACGATAAAAAATGAATAGCTGTATTTAGTGAAAAAATATTACCATTTAAGTTTATCTTTAAAAATGGTTGCTTAACCAAACCAAATAAAATCCATTAATAACGATAATAAAGATACTTGATCGATTAATTTTTAATATTCACATGCCAATAACTATCATTGTATCATAGTTTGGAGACCTTTCTGTTGAAAGTGTGTCAGAGTTAAATTGTATACCGATAAACAGTGCGCTAACTAGAGTGCTGTAACATGCACTCCAGTTACCGCACTGCCTGTTGATGATATAAATAGAGCATGCTCTTTGCTTGGCTACATTATTTCCGAAGTTTACTTATTATGACGACTGCAGCTGGGAAAAGGATAATGATAGAAAGTCATATTCAGATGCTCGTACATTGGTTCATTTAGTTTCATGTTGTGGCAACAGGGAAACTGTTTTTATTTCATGATAACCTTTATGCACGTGTGCCCAAAATGAAAGAGCTTCTCTTATCAATGATGAGTAAGAAGGCAAAATATGGCAGTTTGTTTTCTATTAATTGATTGGTAACTGTTTAAAAATAGGGGTCCCTACTAAAAAGCCACTGAAAAAGGGTGGTAATCCTTTAATGTTTGAATGCTAAAGGTCATATAGTTTTCTAGTTATTGAGCGGAAACGGTTTTCACATTCAAAGTCACTATTTTCTAGAATAAGGGTGATCATTAAATCAAACTAGAAGGATGCGGGTCAAATGGCTCTTTACATAAAATGGGAAAACGATTCACTTTCAACCTAACTGTGACCTTGACCTTTACGCAAAACAAAAGATGTCTCCTACTAAATGAGGCTGATTTTCCTTTAAAGGTTGGATGCTGTAGGTCAAATTGTTTTCTACGTACTGGGCGGAAAAGGTTTTCACATTTTATGATATTGTGACCCAAACTTTCACACATGAGCACCAAAAAAACCCACAATAGATGCCTTTTACTGAATAGAGGTAATCATCAGGCTATGGGTAAATGATTCTCAAGTTATTGAGCGGAAACCGTTTCACTGTTACCACGACCTTCAAGCATCGGTCCCAAAAAGTAATAACGGTCTTTTATACAACAACGGTGATTATTCTAAAAATTTGAAGCTGTGGTTCACATGGTTCTCTATTCATTGATCGATAAGGTTTGTGACTTTGACCTCCAACCACAAACGCCATTAGATTAAGGTTTTTACGCAAAACCCTATGACGTTTGAAGGCTTTGTCAAATGGTTAACTTGTTATTGAGAGAAACCGAAGTTGTCAACTGACCGACCAAAATTTGCAAAACAATGCCCCCTTTTAATTAAGAGTTCATTACAAAATATCATAAAAGTTTTATATGAAATATAAGCCTTAAATAGTAAAAAAGTTTAATTATAATCCTCGTCATCAGATAACAAAGTCAAGTAAATCATTTTATTTGTAATCATTGCTGAGTGATAGCGGAAATTATAAGCATATTTCCTTATTCATGTATTCAGTAATAGAAAGAGCATCGAGACACAAGTCTGTCTGAATTGTACGAGGGGCTTATTAATCAGGTTGCCGAGTATTTTGATGCTCTTATAGGCAAACATAAAAACACATTCCCTGTTGCCACAATATGTAACCATAGAAAAAAGTAACCAATGAACGAGCCTCTGAATATGACTTTTCTATCGTTATTCCTTTCTCTGTCGTCACCTTGTGTAAACCCAACAAAAAATGAGCCAATCAATGAGCATGCTACGGACTGCGGGTAACTAATACATACACTCCAGTTAACTCACAGCGCATGTATGTGTATACGATTTAAATCTGACACATTTCCAACAGAAAGGTCCCCAAACTATGATAAAATATACCATTATCAACTTCCCAAAGTATTATATGTTCATCACAAATATCATCATATCTTATTAAGAGTAGTGTTACTACATTGGTCAACACACCATAATAGGTGAAAAACCTTTATAACCAACAGAAACGAATGCATTACAAACTTACTCTAATCAAATTGTATAAATGAGATAAATCCGGGGCTATTTTATTTGTAGATCACACGTTGTATTGATTATTTTTTCTTTCAGATTGAAGATTTGATTTTTACCTATTCTTGCCGAATACTGATACACGATTTCCTGTTTCCTTCGATTGAAGAACAAATACGAAACCAACTCTTTCATTTGCTTGAATTCACATCGAAAAGTGCAATACTTCAAGGATTTATGATTGGTTAAAAACCCTAAACAAGCTAATCACTTCATAAGTTTTGTAAACAGAATGGTGAAACTTTTCACGATACGACGGTTACAGAAATACACGATTTTTGCAATTTTTACATTTTTCATGTTAACAATATTTACACATTTATTTGTCCATTTTGAGCAAAGTGACACGGAATATTTCAATCTGGATAATTATGCTTTTTTGAAGATGCTAAGGATTTAAAGTATCCTGTTAAGGTACAACCTTATTTATTTCGACTTATAAATGCTTCTAATCCAAGTGTTCCTTTAACCGTAAGTGCACCATATCTTATTGAGAACCCTAATCTCTGCCGTTCTGTGAAGCATCTAACGGTGCTTGTTGTAGTTAATTCAGCGACAGACCATTTTGAACAGAGACAAAGTATAAGAACAACCTGGACAAACGACACGTATTATTCGTATTTAGCAACAGTCAGAGTTGTGTTTCTTGTCGGAAGAACTGTGAGTCAAGTTGTCCAATCTGCGCTTGAAATGGAGTTTAAAAAGTATAAGGATATTGTACAAGGAGATTTTATAGATTCCTACAACAATCTTACACATAAAGGTGTGATGGGGTTTAAATGGATTACGGAGAGATGTCGAAATGCGGAAATGATTCTGAAAGTAGATGACGACATTGTAGTTAATATGTTTCTATATATCTATAAATTAAAACATTCTAAAGCGCTGCAAAAGGCAAACGTTTATTGTGAATACAAATCTGATATTGTAGAAAGAGATGTTACATCCAAATGGTATGTTGATGATAATCATTTCAAAGGAGTAAAAAGATATCTAAAATTTTGCAAAGGAAAGTTTGTGAGTATGACGAATGATATAATGCCATCTTTATATCTCGCCGCCTCGAGGTCGCCGTTTTTTCATCTCGATGACGTTTTGTTGTTTGGATATGTCCTGCATAAGATTCCAGGATTGAAATATCAAACGTTCAGTGACGGAGATTGGCAGGGAAAAACTAATGCAGTAAAACACTGTTTGGATGTCAAACGGGAAAAATGTACCTATATTGCTATGCAGGCAAGTTATAAGGAAGACGTATCAACCATTTGGTCAAAAGTGGTCAGATACTTTAGAAAACGCTTTTAATTAGAGGTTAATTCTTGGTTACAATACGCCATTATGCGATAATTGCCCAAAGATGTACATTTTAATAGTATCAATCAATTGTTAGACGAAAAATATTCAGTTTCCAATCGTTTCTTATAATTAAGCAAATTTTCTACACCAAAGCAAATAGACCACACGAATACAGCTATTCTATTTAACGAAAGAAAATCACGGTTTCCAACGATTTTTATCAGGCAAACAAACGCTCATGACTATTTAATAAAAATTTAAATCAATGCTGACTGCATCAAACTTACACTCGAACTATCTATCTATGTGGTGTTTTTTTTTTTTGTTTTTTTTTTTTATTTTCCTGCTTTTTTGTTGTTGTTGGTTTTTTTCTCACGCAAAATCAATGACTTGTCTGACTTTACAGATAATGATGAGATGTTGCCTGATATGTACATAAATATTAAAGAAAAATTAGACGAAAAAATTGGCCATCTCAGTCGGGACTTGAACCACGGGTCTCTGGAATGCCGGTCCAACTTATGCTTACCAATGCATCACAGTGGCAATTGGGTTTACACCTTATATATTTAAGATATTTTTACCTTATTGTGACGTCATTTAATCGACTGGAAAGTGAGACCAGTTTAACGATCTACTATTTAAGGTGAAATATACTTTAAGTTTACTGAAATAAACAAACAGGTAATTACAATTTATTATATAAATAATACATGTACATTAATTGACCGACCGCTGACAAATTATAATTTGTAAATTAAAAACGTGTTACATGTCATTTTGATCTAACATCGGTAGAATATCATGCATGTATGTATGTTTGTACGTACGTACGTATGTTTGTTTTTTTTTTTTTTTTTTTTTTTTTTCTCACGGAAAATCAATGACTTGTCTGACTTTACAGATAATGATGATTTTGGCAAATGCGTTTTTGTATTCAGATGTTTTATATGATATGTATGTATGTATGTATGTATGTATGTGTGTGTTTTGTTGTTGTTCTTATATTTTTTTCTCACGCAAAATCAATGACTTATCTGATTTACAGAAAATGATGATTTTGGAAAATGCTTTTTCTGTATTTAAATGTTTTGATATGTTTGCTTGAAATAAATATAATATCACAGAAAAAGCACATGAAAAATTGGCACGCTGCAACCGGGACTCGAATCATGGGTCTCTGGATTGCCGATCCAGTGTGCTTACCACTACACCACAGCGGTCATTACGTATCTAAATTATTTTTGAATTATTGTCACATCATATCATCAACTGGAAAGTGAGATCGAGTTAACGATCTAATGTTTAAGGTGAAAAGTTCTTTACGTTTACTGAAATTTTTGAAATAATACTCTTATTGACCACCAGTTGCCATATGTATGTATTTATGTATTTCTAACGCAAAATCAATGACTTTTCTGACTGTACAGATAATGATGATTTTTGCAAATGCCTTTCTGTATTTAGACATTTTGATATGCTTTTGATATGTTTTACAATAGCGGCCATTGCGTTTGTTCCTTATATATTTCAGTTACTTTTAACTTATTCCGACTTCATATAATCGACTGAAAAGTGAAAAAGGGTTTAAGGTGAAATATACTTAAAGTTTACTGAAATAAACAACCATTTATATAAAATTTATTATTGAAATAATACTCTAATTTACCGCCCGTTGACAAAATAAAGAAAATGGATAGAAAGCTTGTGACATGTCATTTTGATCTAACATCGGTAAAACATCAATCAATTTTTAGACGAAAAATATTCAATTTGTACTCAATTCCTGTAATTTAACAAATTTTTCTTCACCAAACCAAATAGACCACAAGAATAAAATTATTACAAAAAATCAAAATTACGAATTCCAACGATTTTATAACGGGTCATGTTTTTTAATAAACAATTTTAAATCAATTTTGACTGCTTCAAACTCGGCCTATGTGTGTATTTATGTATGTGTTTTGTTGTTGTTGTTGTTGTTGTTGTTGTTTTTCCACGCAAAATCAATGACTTATCTGACTTTACAGATAATGATGATTTTTGCAAATGCCTTTCTGTATTTAGATGTTTTGATATGTTTGCTTCAAATATATATAATATTACAGAAAAAGCACACGAAAAATTGGTACGCCTTAGTCGGGACTTGAACCACGAGTCTCTGGATTGCCGATTCAGTATGCAAACCACTACACCACAGCGGCCATTTCGTATTTAAATTATTTTTGATTTATTGTCACATTATAAAGTCGACTGGAACCTGGAAAGAGAGATCGGGTTAACGATCTAATGTTTAATGTGAAGTATACTTTAAGTGTACTGAAATAAACAAGCATGTAGTTATTATTGGAATAATACTCCAATTGACCACCAGTTGACTTATCTATGTATTTATGTGTGTTTTATTTTTTCTCACGCAATATAAATGACTTGTCTGACTTTACAGATAATGATGATTTTAACAAATTGCATTTTGTATTCAGATGTTTTGATATGTTTGCTTGAAATATATATAATATTACAGAAAAATCAATCAAAAATTGAACCGCCTCAGACGGGATTTGCACCACCGGTCTCTGAATTGCCGATATAGTATGCAAACCACTACACCACAGCGGTCATTGCGTTTTCTGTTATATATTTAAGTTATTTAGAAAACTTATTGTGCCGTTATATAATCGACTAGGAAGTGGAAAACTGAAAAGAGAGACCGTATAAACGGTCTACTGTTCAATGTGAACTATACTTTAAGTTATCTGGAATAAACAAACATGTTTTTTTTACAATTTATTTTTGAAATAATACTGTTATCGACTGCCAGTTGACAAATAAAAATTTGTGAGTTAAAAGCATTTAATCTAATATTGTTAAAATATCAATCAATATTTAGACGGAAAGTATTTGGTTTGCACTCTATCGTTTGCTATAATTTATCAGAATTTGTACACCAAAGCAAATAGATCACATTAATACAAATATTACAAAAAATCAAAATCAAAGTTATCAACGATTATTTAACGGATAAACAAAACATGTCTGCGCTCATGATTTTTAATGTGTAATTTGAATAAATGTTGCCTGCTTCAAAATTACATGTACGCACTCTTTGTTCTTTTTGTTGTTTTTGCTTTGTTTTAATTTTTCTCACGCCCAATAAATGACTTTTCTGACTTTTTAGATAATGATGATTTGGGCAAATGCCTTTCTGTATTCAGATGTTTTGATATGTTTGCTTGATATATTTATGACAGAAAATTATACGTAAAATTGGCACGCCGCAGCCGTCCTTAACCACGTGTCTCTGGATTGCCGGTCTAGTATGCTATCTACTGCACCACAGCGGCCGTTGCGTTTTCTCCTTATATATTAAAGTTATTAACTCATTGTGACGTTATATAATCGACTGGGAAGTAAGACCGTAATAACGATCTACTGTTTAAGGTATAAAATACTTTAAGTATCATGTTACGTGTCATTTGTCATTTTGTTCTAACATCGGTAAAATATTTAGACGAAAAATATTCAGTTTCAACTCGTCTCATGTAATTTTGCAAATTTTCTACACCAAAGCAAATAAACCACATGACTATAATTATTACAAAAAATCAAAATCAATAATTCGAACGATTTTATAACGGGTGAACTAAGAATGTCGGCGCTCATGGTTTTTAACAATAACTCAATGCTGACTGCAACAAACTTACACTCGGACTGTCTATTTATGTGTTTTTAATTTTTTTCTCACGCAAAATCAATGACTTGTCTGACTTTACAGATAACGATGATTTTGGCAAGTGCCTTTCTGTATTTAGATGTTTTGATATGCTTGCTTGAAAACAGAAAAAAAAACACATGAAAAAATATATATAAATATTACAGACAAATCATACGAAAAATGGCGCACCGCAGCCGTGTCCGGTCAAGTATGCTAAAGACTTCACCACAGCGGCTGTTGCGTTTTCTAGTTAATTTTTAACTTTATTGTGACGTCATATAATCGACTGGAAAAGTGAGACCGACTTTGTCTCGCCCTAGTACTTAAAATCGACACAGCATATGTTTAGCCTTAAATTTAGAAACAAAAATTAAATGACATTAAATTATGAAGATGTTTTGGAAAGTTAAAGTTTAAACCACTGAAGGTTTTATACGTGTTTATTTACCAGACGTATTATGGCACCCCGTAGACCGTCCGTCTGTTTGTCTGTCATTCAGTTTGTCTGTAAACAATTGGTTTCCGCGGCATAACTTTTGATGGATTTCAGTGATTTTGTTTACACTTGGCATGTTAATATATTATTATAAAACACATGTCAAGATCAACTTCTTATAAATAGAGTTATGTCCCTTTTTAAGCAGGCTTTAAGTAAACATATTGGTTTCAGCAGAATAATGTTTGAAGGATTTCAACGATTATGTTTCTAAAAAGCATGCAAGTATGTTTTATCAAAAACAAAAGTTTATTGTTCCAAGTATATTTCAATCAATTTACTATTATAATAGTTATGCCTCTTTTACAGCAAATTTTCTGTGAATTTACTAGTTTTCTAAGTAAAACTGTAAAAGGATTTCACTGTACGTGTTTAAATCACGCATGCAAGTGAAGTATAGTTTTCTATAATCAAGTAATACACCTGGCGTATATTGCACCGCCTCAGCTGAGCTCTTCTTGTTCTTGTTTTCTGAAATCTAATTATTAACGCAAAATTATGTTGAATTTATATGTTTCAGTACAAAACAATATAGAATCTTAAAGTGCCAGTTAGCATCCTTAAATTATTATTTTAGACATGCTTATGCTTTCTCTGCAATAAATAGTTTTTTGTTTTTGTTTTTTTTTTTACAATTTTTGATAGATTGTTTTTATAAAATCTTATTTCTGGTATTTGATTTATTAATAAAATAGTGTAAAAAGGTAACATGTGTGTATTTTATGTATGAAATAGAATTGCTAGTTTTTTATATCTGGTCTAATCTTCCACCAAACCCTGTAGATAATCTGTTTTGAAGGTGTGCCATGTAATCAGAACACCGTGGGATAATAGCATTTTGTTTTAAGATTTAAAGCGAAAAGAAAGGATAATTTCTAAAAATGCTTTCATCTGTTAAAACTGGAACGCCGACACTTAAATTGTAACATATATGCTCGAATGAAAGGAATAAAGAAACAAACAAAATAACCAATCAAACTCACTTATAATCAAATAGATTTCGAACAGCCGTATCCGTACAATAGTAAACTTTCACTATAAACATCCATAACATTCTAATTAAGTTAATGCAGGACATATCTTATTACTTTGTAAAAACAGATTCGAAATATTTGTTTCCGATTTAATCTGTTAATGAAATATCAAATAAGCGTCGATGTAAAAAGGGCAGATGAGGAAGGCATCCGAGTTTATGTTAACTATTAATAGATCACTTATTGAATTTCGTTACTAATTTCACTAGTGTCACACTGCCGCAAGATATCTGCAAAACACCCAAGGCCATGACCATCCCTCGCAGCTATTTTCGGCCATTTTTAAGCTTTTCTCGAAAGGCATTTGCCAAAATGTAGGGATCGCCATATCGCTCATCCAACAAACTTCTACCCTCATCATAAGAATCACCAGAAGACAATAGGAAATAACTCTCTACTACCTCTCTAACCGGTCCACCAATGTATCTCTTCAAATAATGAATCTTTTCAGAAGACGAGATATGACTGTTTTCAATCAAGGTATTGAAAGCAGTTTTCCATGCTGGGTATTTTAACGGATTTCCAAAAAATATTCCAGGTTCAGGCGGAGGTAGTCTATTAAGACTAATTTGTTCAACCAATGACTTAGTAAAGTGCATGACGCTTTTGCCTCAATGATCTTCTGTCATTTGATTCTCTAATACATCTTGACCTGTTTGTGAATATATGACAGAATGTGAATCATGAGATACTGTTGCCTTGGGGGTGAATTTTTAGGCATGAACGGGTCTACCGCAGGGTTCAGAACTGCAGCAGGTTTTGAATTAAACGGAGGAGAAGAAGTTGTAATTTGTGGCATACATGTATCAGACAGATCAGAAGTGCATGGTGGATGTGACGGCTTAATAGTTTGATAGTCGTTTTGAATGCTATGAGATTGTGTATCAACATAATTTTGAATAAACACAGATTTATCTTCAATATCAACTGGCAATTGCAATTTTTGTTTAGTCACATAATCTGACTGGTTATCTTCAACCAACTCTTGATCTAGAGCCATTAATCTTGCTTTAGCTATTTCTAATTTCTTAATTGTTGAGATTTTTTCAAACTGAGCACGCGAGTGAGCTTCTGCTTCTATGTATTTAAGCTTTGCACTTAGAACAGCGGCTTCGGTTGCAGGATTAGAACTTTTAATATTCAACGAATTATAAGATCGCAAAGATCTATTTGATCTATGACTTTGCTGCAAACGCATTGACTGTAAGTCATAGTCTGCGGCGTGAAGTTCCGAATTTTTTTCCGATATACGGCACATAATTAGCTGATGTTCAATCTCTACTTTATCGAATGTTTCCGAAACTACATAGCTATCATCTGCGCTTAAATCACTTAACCTATCAAAAGCTAAACACAACTCGGCAAAGAAATTTTCGAGATTTGTTCTCTCCTCGCGCATTTTGTACTGTCCGACATAGTTATCGGAACTTGGACAGACTGCCTACGCCATTTTGATACGCAAGACTTGAAATTTTTTCTTACTCATTTCTTTTTTTCTTCTTTGTAAACCTTTCTCAGTTAAGGCCGGAACTTATATTTAAATCTGGTGACGCGTTCTGAGTTTCAATATTGTCAGAGTTTACCACCGTATTATTAAGTGACTGCCTTTCTGCCATCTTAAATTAAGTTTGTATGCACCTAACGTATGTGGTTTATCTTTCAAAATAAAATAATTTGAATGACAAATAAATAAAAAGAACTACCCTAAAATAATGGTGTGGCTGGGCAATCCCTGCCTACAGAAACAACAACTGATTTTCAGTTTACGAGCAATCTCGTATTATTGTTCTACAAATTGATTTTAACAACGACTTGGCTAATGCTGAAGATGGATGAATTCCGTCTACTAAAAGATTGAAGTTCCAGGAATATACTGCTTTGGATTTCTTTCTTTTTCCGACTTCTGCACAGATCCTGATTTAACTTTGGTTAGCATGTTCCGGATTGACAGTTTAAATCATCTATAATGTTTTAGAATTTGAATGTTCCTTTAAATAGTTCCACTTTTCAACTGAGTAATATGGCACATGAATGAAACAGATCTTTACATCTGAGTACTTGTCAGCAAGGTCCTTGTATTTTTGCAGATCGTTTTTCAAGTCAGCAACTGGATTTGGTTTTGCGTAAATATATTTTTGAACCTTTCTAGTGAGGTCACATGTGCCTAACCATATAAACAAAGCTATTCTTTTATGCGTCTTTAAAAGATCCTCAATGTTACGTTCTAACCAAATATATCTTTCAAGACAACTTGCTCCACTTTTAATTAAAGGACCATATAATTTCGTTTTCATGTGAAACACTTTTGTTGACTGCCAACTTTAAATATCTTCCTTTACTGTCACTTATAAAGACTGCTTTCCATGTGAGATCTTTCTGTGAATTATCAAGACCAAAAAATGAAAGGCGGCGTTCAATGAACGCAATCTACTTAAATATATTGCGTCATTTCGAAGTAAGTTTTGCATTAGTTCTAAGTAGAAAAATATTTGAAATCCTATGGGTGAAGTATGGGTGTTTTTATTAAATGTATTTTAATGATATCAAGTATCTCTCTATTTGATGAAAATCCTATTAGAGGTAAGCCTTTCATATAAAAGCTATGTTAAACATAGTCCTGAAAGGATTGGAAGCCTTATACAAAACTTTGATAACAATAACAACTAGTTATGCCCCACCTACCACAGGAAAGCAATAAAATCAATACAACAATCTACCGCGGATAGCAACGTTTACGAAATGCAGTCCCGACAATGTTCAGTCATATACCTTTGCTTTTGAAATCAAAATTAAGACAGGAAAAGAAACATATTTTGATCTAAAACAAAATAACTAAACTGGGATAGGTAGGCAAAGAGCTCAGCATGTTTGTCACCGTGTATTTAATATGATTTATATAATCATTCTGGAAATCTGGAAAACATAATATTCTAGCCTTAGTTACGATATTTGTTCTTTATCTTCGGAAAGTTGCTTTTTGGGAAATTCCTTACAGGAAAGAAGATATCTATTCTGTTTATCCTGTTTGTTGCTTCGAAACTGTAATAAGTCTCAACCATACCCTCATTGGAAATAATGCTGTATCTAATTATTCATAATCACATCACATATCATAAAAAGACTGTACGTGTAAGATCATGTATATAATAAAGGGACATGCTTTTATAATCTATTTTGGAAGTAACATTGTTGATCATGATGATGAATATAAAGAACCTTCTCTTTACTTCAGTTTAAGCTTGTCAACGACAATTTGAAATTTGTTGACAAGTCTGGCAAATTCTGAGGTAGAACAAGAAAATCTAGTAAAATAACTGACCACAAGTTTCAATTAACAAACAACACTTCTATCACAGATTGTGCTCATAAGCATGACCAAGAGCTAGGGTGACAATGGCATAAAAAGAATGTCCAAGGGATATTATATCATCTATTTGTGACACATTTTTAAGGTAAATGAAAGGTTGGTGACATTTTTTCACAATAATGAGTTTATGTATCTTTGGATATAATACGAACGGGCAAGCAACCACCAACTAGATTAGTCATAAAAGTTGTTGTCAAGTTTGCACTTAATCAGTCGAAAACCAATGTGTAAAGTTTGCTTATAAAACAAATGCACATGTGCTTTCGAGAATAATTAGGAATAATCCAGAATAAATATGATTGACATTTATCAAACTATTACGCATACTTTGACGAAATGTACTATATGTATGTCTGCTATTTGTTGCCTTTTCCTTTGCATTTTTAAAACCTTTGTTTTTAAAAATGCATTGATAAAACTTCATATAATTATGATTATTTTGACAATTCAAATACTAAAAGACTATCAAAACCGTATGCCAGTCAGCTTTCACTTCTCTGCTTTACACTTTTCGTAACGAAGAATAAGATAAAACTACAGTGCGTGCACCTGGCTAGACGGGAAGATAAGATAGCATTAATTTGGTTTCCATGTCAAGTCCGTGTCCCAAATGTAACACATGAACTATAACTTTTTCATGTGACGTTACATACAAGAACTGCAATTGTTTAACTTGTAGATCCTTCTGATAAGCAATAGCACCAACAGGTTTATTTTTGAAAGTAAAACTAAATACAAGCAAACATGTTCGTCGACAATAGAATTGCGAGAAAAATATGTACGTTGTTTTTTACTGTTTCCAAATCCTAGAAGTCGTTCCCTCACATCCAAGAGAGAAGTCATGCAAGGAAAATTGAGAAACGCTTCAATAAAAAATTTTTCTTCGACTGGTATGAAAGGTCTGTATGTTCTGCATAACAACGCTCCTTAAACATCCACCGTACTGTCCATACAAGCCTGTGACATTTTCCTCCTTCCTAGACTGTAAACACATACATGTGTATATGGTATAAGCTTTTTGAAATGGAAATGAGTCCGATATGCATATGATACATATATTTTGGACTCTAAAACTGAAAACTAGACTATATGGGGTGTGATACGCGTTTGATATGGATGTTCTGAAATGAGGCTAAATTGTTGAGACTGGATTCGATGATGATTTTTGTTGGAACATCATGTGCTTTAAACGCTAAAAGTTCAATGGTTATATTTTATAAGGTGTGAAATAAATCAAATACTTAATGCACTCGTAATTAGTCATTTGTTTTTGAAGGCTTAGTTTTAACAACGCAAATGGAGAAACTCAATGACCAATTTAAACGGGTTAATTAACGGAAATATGTTATCTATATTACATATAGAGTAACAAACGGAGGTCATACTAGTAGGTACATTATTTTTACTGACGTAAGATATTTAATTTCATACTCAGATAGAGTAACTGTCTAACACGGAAGAACTACATTATTTGATATCAAAATATGTCACCAGTTCCTCAAAAGATAAGAAAGTCTAGACTAAGCATAACATGTTTTCTAACTTGAATTCATTATTATTTTGTTTCACCAGTGGAATGGAGGCAAAACAGCTTATGATTCAATGTATCGTCCTATTATCTATTTTGCTTCAAAGTAAGTTTATTGCTATCCTTTAAACATAAAGATATTTCGTAGATCATAACTCGTGACATTCGTGCAAATTTACACTTTTCCACAGATAAGAAATATCAATATACGTCGTATTAGGTGATGGCACACGTTAACAGTTTACCTTCCACCAGTTGGTTACCTAACTGTCATACACATGGATTCCTCAGACAAAATAAAGAACAGTCAACCGGTACAATAAAGAAAAAAATGAATCTTTATAAAAACATTTAAAATGGCAAAATTAAAAAATGTCTCGGTTTGATTAAGCCTGTCATGGATGGTACTTAAGTCCCCTAGCACCGGCTTACATTTTTCTCGGTATTTAATAAGAAAAAAATCTTATCTGGAGGAAAAAGGTCTATATTACCCTTTTATAAATTGCTATGCTTTATGAATTAAAATAAGTCTTTAGCTGACTCTATGAGTTGTATTCAGTGTGAAACTATTATTAAATACTACAAAACAACACATTTTTGTAAAAAATCTTATTTAATAAACTATTATTTCAGTACAGGGGCAGTTTGACCCAATAGCGTTCACCCTTGGTCAGGGTTATCACATGGACATTTCAAATGCAGAAAGTGCTACCAAAATACCATTTGCATCGGTATGAGGTTTGATTATTTATATAATATAAACACATTTATCTTTGCTACATTGTGAAATGCTTGTAATTTACCTAATATATTGGGGAAAACCGAGTCCCTAAAGAAATAGAAAAAAAACGACAAAATTGAAAACATTGCAGGCTCGGTGTGATTGAGTCTGTCCATGTTTATAAACAACTCTTTAACCTGCTTCATGAACAAACCAATAAAAAAGACATGGTCATGTCTAAAGTAGGAATCGGACCCACAATTTGAGAAACAGAAACCATAAGATAAAGTTGCCTCTCACGTAAGTATTATACACTTTAAAGTATATTGTTTTAATGCTACTGCTTATATTATTACTTCTGGGTGTAAATGTTTTAAAACTGCCGAACTTTTAGACAGATTGTACCAGTATCAGTTTGCAAGAAAAGCAAATAAAAGAAAAAACAAAATCCCTAAAGAAAGCCCAACACGGTAAAATTGAAAATGTTGCAGGCTCGGCTTGATTGAAGTAATGATAATTGAAAGATACCGTCCACGCGTTTTAGTACCTGCTTAAGCAGTATTCAACATTTAACATAAACTTTGAAACATCCGTGGATGTGTTCATATCGCGGTTTTTATGGAAATTGTAACGTTACTTGTGATTGCTATTCCATAAGAAGTGACATATGGACCCGACCCCAATTAAACAAGAGCGACCAATGATCACATGTGTCGCATAAGAATAGCCGTTTCTTGGCAAAAAATCTTTGAACCTAAAAATCTTTATAACATGCACAAGAACTTGAGCGACAGATCAATGCTGTAAAGTTTCATTAAAATTGCGTAAGTCGTAAAAGAGGAGTAGTCCGGACAAAATTTAAAAAACAAAATCTTTGAAAGGCCATAATTCTTACAAAAATCAATGAACCGGAAAATGTCGATGAGATGCACAATTTTACATTGTATTGACCATTTCTGTAAAGTTTTGATGAAATAGCACCAGTAATTTCTGAGGGTTAGTCAAGACAAGCTTCTGTGTAGCTGCAACACAAAACACCTTTTTTCAAGGACCATAACTCAACAAAGAATTATTCAAGCGGAAAACTGTGTAATATGCCCAAGTACCTGACCTACCAATCAATCCTGTAAAGTTTCATTGAAATTGCAATAGTAGAGTAAGAGGAGAAGCCCGTAAAACTTTAGAAATAAAAATAATTAAAGGGCATAACTCCGATAGGAAATCATTGAACAATAAAAAGTCGACGATATGCACAACTAGACTTGGTTCTGATCTTTCCTGTAAAGTGTGGATGAAATTGCACCAGTAGTTTTTAGGAGTAGGCGCGACTAGTTTTGTTACGGACGGAAAGTCGGACGTTCTTACGAGACAAAAATAATGTGGCTACTCTATTTTTATCTCTCTTCTTCCTTTAAAGGAAAAATCCACATAAAAGCCTAGCGGAATGAATGACATTAAAGAGAAAGTACAGTTACCTTTTGTCCCTCTAGGCATATAATTATTCATATGTAAGCTCGGACAGACAGACGGATATACGGACAGACAGACGACGGAGAAGTGACCCCTATATGTCGTCACTACTCCGTACAGGCGACACAAAAATGTGTGGCCTTATCGAGAAAATAAAAAGTGAAAATAAATAGAAATAAAATTTTGAAAGGGTATCAGAGGTTATGAACCTGCATATCACAAAACAAGCTGTCAAAAGAAAAAGGGTGATAGAAAAGTATTCAAATGGGCCATACTAGAACAACCCGACTAGACAAAAACATCAATTGAAAAGAACTAAAAGTACCAAAACCATGCACTCCACACAAAAATTTCGTGCTGAACGATCTTCAAAGTTCGCAAAAATTAAAGGTAGGGAGAGATATTTTAAAGTCGCCACGGGACACAAATAACATCGTTGTGACAATAAAATAACGAAAAGCAGGATCCCTAAATTAACATAACCTCTTTAGCAGTCACGATGAAATCATAATGTTCAGTGTTTTAATTGTACAGTAGTATTGAATATGTGAAGAAAGGACACAAAGAGTGATTCGAGTCTGTTCCTCGAAATATATGTTAATAACCAGCTCCTTGCATCACTTTGGGGACACACAAAGGGAGTTTACGCATCCGCCGGAAATGCCGTCATAACTTCACTTGTTGATGGGGACGTAGTCAGCGTAAAAACACGAAGTCAACACGCCGTTAATATATATGGGAAATCTGGACAAATTTATACTGCATTCACAGGCGTTCAAATAGGTATCATAACGTTCAAATTAGTCAATACATTATGTCAGTACAGTAAATTAATGACCAATTTGTCTTCATGTTTCAACAAGGCTAGTCACTAAGTATTATTTCTCGTGGTTCTGCTTACTTTTGCAATGACAATATTGTTAACGCAAGGCTTATGAATAGAAAAAAACGGAATCGCTAAAGAACGCCTTTAAAGTCAAAATTGAAAATGTTGCAAGCTCGTTTTTATGATGAATAGTAGAGGTAAATGTAAGCTACTGTCCACATCTCCTAGCACGTCGAAAGTAACTGAAACAGTACGTTATTTTTAAATGCAAGTGTTCTATCATACAGTACATTTACATAGTTTACATTTTCACAAATATCTTTATAATTGAGTTGTTTGAGTTTAGTTTAACAGTGAAAATTGTATACCTGGTCATTTTGCAAGGATATGAATGCTAGTCTGAGCCAGCAACACGCTATTGGAGGATATGTTTAAAGGATATGTTTAAATGATTACCTTTTACAAGATTCATCATTTGATAATACAGTTACGTTTATTAGATACAGGGCGGTATACCAGTATGTCAGCATTCTCTGTTGGACTAACACAGCACCAAGAAGTCCACACAGGCCAAAATGTCTTGTATAATAACATTTTGACCGACACCAACACAGCTTATAGCGATTCAACCGGTGTTTACACAGTTCCATCTAGTGGACTCTACATATTTCACTTCTTCAGGTTAGATTTATTTGGCTTATGTCTTGTCACGCGGATGGTGCCTGTAATACTTGGATAATGATCAATGTGCAATACTGATAATAAATAATATGTGACTAATATATTGTAACTTAACATCTTAAAGAATTAATTTATTTAAACATAAGTTCATTGTATAACAGAACTGTAAATATTACTTTCATTATCTTTCTTAAACAGACCCAATAAATAGAGAAAAGAAAACAGCCTGTTCATGGACGGTACTGGAAAGTGACCGAGTCTGCAATATTTTCTTTTCATTGCTCTGAGGATATCCACTTTTCAAGATTTTAAGTTTGGTTGTTCACATACCATTACTATGTTCTCTGCTTTTATTTAGTGCTTTTATCCGGTTTTAAGAAAATCGTATAAAAAACTTACCAGTTTCCATTACACAAAAACGACATTACATTCAAAGTTGAATTACCCTGGAAAATTTTCGTGGAAGAGGAAGTCCGGGGTTCCATCTTTGATTGGATTTTATTTGTATCCATTAGCCAATTTTGGACCTGTGTTTCACACATATTCTCATATTCATAAAGCATTGTAACCATTCCAAAAAGCTTCAGATTACTTTCTGAGAAGCGTGCTTCTGAACAATGGAGAGAAGTTTTGGAACCAAAATCTTTTTGCTTGAACATTTACTATAGATTATAAATCTATGTGCATCTCGTGTATTACCAGGTCTGTCAGACGTTACAAAAAATAACAAATAGTATGTACGTTTTCATCATCAGCATCAATAACATGGGGTTGTAGTGTTAATATTGAATCACCGCTCTTTAACACTTGTATCCATTTTTCAAAGATATCTTGTAAATTCAAACATCAACAGGAGCAAATAAACTTGCAAAAATCTTTAACATCTATTATTCAGATTCGCATTACATTGATCTAATCAAACATACATGTATATGTTTAAGTTGTTCTGTTTACAGTTCATCTCGTCAAAATCCAGGACTTTGGCAAGAACTCTTCCACAACAACATATATGTGTGCTCTATATATGGCCGTAACAATCAGGACTTGGTAGACGCTGGTAATACCGTATTACTCCATGTGAAAAAGAATGATCAAATAAGTGTGCGTGCACTTCGGGACAGCAGCTTGTATGGGACTTTTGATCAGATTTACTCGACATTGACAGGGACTCAATTAGTCAGAGAGGCTAATATGTCGTCCGGTCGTGAGTATACTAAATATGGTGTTCTTTTTTATCCACATGACCAGTATTTTAAAAATGACCTTTGATGTTATTTTAAAATAAAAAAAAACATTGATTGAATGATTTATTGCATATTAGTATTGTATTGTTCTCCTTTTGCATTTAATTTCAAATGCTGATTAAGATTTTGTAATAATATACATGTGAACGACTTTGTTATAATTATATTACTGATTCAAGTGACGTTATGCTCATTTTAAAGCTATCATCAGTTGTATATTTCAAAAGATAAATTGAGTGTTATAATGGTGATTGGCCAATAATTAATGTCGAAGAATGCTTATAAATATATAACATACGAGGGGTGTTTAAATGTGAATGCAACTGGGCCAATTTGCAGAAGTGCTAAACAAACAGTGCCAAAATATTTACATGTACCTCAATCCTTCAAAATACATACCACCATGTGATATACAAAGTTTTAGTCTTTTAATCCATTTAATGCGTTTTCATAATCTTTTTCATACTGTTCAGACACTGGAAAATAGACGAACCAAGAAATTTTCGCGTTTAATATTTTCTTCAAGCAAGGTGTTTTTTAGCCTCGAAAATAGGAAAAAGTCATAAGGGGCAAGATCTGGCGAATAATGGGGGTAAGGAAGCTTGATAACCTTTTCCTAATTCAGATATTCTCGTACAATTGTCGCTTTGTGTGACGAAGCATTGTCATGCAACAACCTGACAGCCTTTGTAATACTTAGCATTTACATATTTACCCTTTGGTACGGCAATTGGAATGATGGACCTTGATTGGTAAAGAAAATTACAAACATGACCTTTTTGACGCACATTGTGCGTTTAGCTATGCAAGGTCTTTGACTTTAGAATACACGAGTAGGTAGCGTTAATCGAGCTTTTGTCAAAGCTAGACTGATTTACACATGTATTGTATCAATTGAGAGCTTACACAACCATCTATGCGATACATGTACATAGCTCGTACAAAACGTGGTTCAAAGCGAGATATTGGCCTAGTTGCATTCATATTTGAACATCCCTCGTATAATATATTTACAATATAAAAACGATCGAAATAATAAACAGTCTGGCCCACTCTTTTTATTTTAGAAATGAACACACCAATACATTCCGGACAATATTTATAGAATATTTCGTTGGTCATTTCAATTATTGATATTTTTCACAATAAAATATATAATTAAACCCAATTATGACAAAATGTCATTTATTTTATTTTTACCACTTCAGTGACCATTTACTCTCGGATGGGCATAATGTCACTTAAATAATGATTTCCCAACAAAATCATAAAAGTGTGCAAAAAAACAATGGTAATGATAAATATTGTTCTTGAATATCTAGATATCACTTTTTATTCTGCCTTTTTCTGCCAATGCAAATTTATTTTTCTAGCTAAACCAATAGTCGCGTTTTCTGTCGGATTATCCCATCATGTAACAGTCACCACTCCTGACCAAAGTCATATATGATCGAGTGTTCTTTGACCTTAACTCTGTGTATGATACAAAGACTGGAGAATTCACTGCTCCAGTTGGCGGTCTCTACGAGTTCAACTTTCACGCCGTTGGGCAACGAGATGGCAAAATTGGCTTGAACTTTTCCATAATAACAGGTTTGATATTTTTTATTCAGTTAACATGGCTAAATTTTGTCATACACAAAGCAACACAAATATCAGAAAAAAATATATCCTGTTTTACGAGACAGAAGAGCAGCAGGGAAACGAAGTGTCTTTATCAAATTTGTATTTTAACGAAGTTAATAAAGTCTTCTTACATCCGCCTACAGCAATGCATTACTTTTTAACTTGCTTATGTCGTCAGAGGAAATAGTTGAACTTGCAGACGGGCTTTTTGCGTTATATCACGTCATGTATATGTAAACGGGCTTCGTGTGTTAGAAGGGTTTACACTTAATCCATAGAAGATTTAAGGATTCCGCATAATCACTTGCCAAATGAGAATTTTATTCAATCCCTGATTGCTCTTTCGAAAAGTCCTTGGAAACAAATGTCTCGCTCCATTTATATTTAATACCCTTTTTCCCCAACATTTCACGAGTGGCCGTATAAAAAATCTCCATAAATGAAACATGCAAATAAAATTTCCCTATGAAATAAACTGCCTTTTACAGTTCTTTTAAAAAGCGTATTATTCCTGACATGGAATAGAGCACTGCAAAGGTGGGGCGATATATGCTCGAATGTAAATTTGTTTGAGTAATCAAAAAATAAACTTTCAGTTATGGTAAATACCCAATCAAGAAAATTGTCTGAACAATGTTTTATGTTAATATTCTTTATGATGCTATTTGACAAGGCGGTTTTTATTCCCTAAGTGCATAATTTATAAAACTGTTAAAGAGGACTACTAGACAATGCTACATGTATATGCCAAATATGAGTACAGCGGCATAATATTTATCTATTTATATAAAACGTGGCTGTAGACAAGGAGACCAATTATTCCCCTATATTTCATTGACTGTGCAGAGATATTGGCCCTCTTAATACGTAAAAACGACCGTATTACTGGTATTAAAATAGTTAATAAGGAACACCTTGTTTCCCAGTACGCAGATGACACATCTCTTACTTTGGATGGTACAGACAAATCTCTAAAGAATACACTTTTGATGCTTAATTTCTATGCTAACGCCACCGGCCTTCACATTAATATAGAGAAAAAAAGTTATCTGGTTTGGAAGCATGAAAGGAAGTAATATTCAATTTCAAATAGGAGAAAATCTGACGTGGGAAAAAGAATCTTTTACTGTTCTCGGAATTAAATTCTCACTTAATCTGAAAGATATAATTAGTCTTAACTGCAACGATAAAGTAGAAGACATAAAATCATTACTGAAACAATGGTCTAAAAAAAATTTAACCCCGTACGGGAAAGTAACTGTTATTAAAACGATGGCAATCATTTGCTTATTTCTCTTCATAATCCATCAAACAAAGTTATCAAAGAACTAGAAACTTTCTTTGGAACAATTCCCCCAGATGAAATAAAAAGAGAAATCATTATAAAACAGATGTCAGAAGGAGGATTGAATATGATAGAACTAAAATCTTTCATTAATTCTTTAAAACTAGGTTGGAATAGACGTATTCTGCATGAAAACAAAAAATGGAAAAAATATCTTTGAAAATTCATTTCCTGATACATGTATATGTAATTTTTCAAAATTCGGACCAGAGTTAATTAAAAATCAATTATCAAGAATCGACAACCCCTTCTGGAACTAAGTCTTTGCATCATGCATAACGTTTTATTCGAAAGTAAAAATGATTGGATATCTCAGACCATCAATTTGGTTCAATCCAACAGTGAAGAGGCACGACAATTTTTTACAATAACCTATTTCAAAATAGTATGAGTATTGTCGCTGTTTTAATTGACAATAATGGTCAATTCTAAAGTTTACAATCTATACAAAATATTTTACAAATTAACCTGCATTTCCTAAAATATAGAGGGATGCCATTCTATTTATGAAATACTTGTAAAAAAATAAAAAAGTTCCGAAATCTCAAGAAAAAAGGAAACATAAACTATTTTTACCAGAAACTTTCGAATGGAATAAAGTCTTTACTATTGTTAACAAAATAACGTCAGATACAAAATTAAGATACTTCCAATACAAATTAATAAATGAATCTTAGCAACAAATACAAAAGATGACAATACATGCACTTTTTGCAGGAAAAGTAACGAAACACTTTTACACTTGTTTTATGAATGTCAGTATGTTAGTTATTTTTGGCGGACGTTTCATTAAAACGAAATGCCCGAATATTACAGATTATGAACTTCCAGAAGAAGAAATCATTTTTGGGATAACTGAACCTAAAGAAACGGATGAAACATTAAATTTTAGTTTTCTTGTTGCAAAAAGATATATTTGCACGTGTAGGTATAATAAACAAAATTTAAATATACAAACTTTTCATAATACGTTAGTTTTTCATTATAATGTAGAAAAGTATTTCCAATACTCTTCCTGTAACTGGGATAAATTTAATAGTAGATAGTCTCCCTCGACACTACAGTTTCTAACTGATCAGTGTCTGAACACACTTTCACCTCGTTTAAACACAAGGAAATTAACTGTTAAAAGATCTCAATCTGAAAAAAACAAAAACAAAAAAAACTATATTACCATCCAAAGTCGGAGAGGTACCATATACATATAAAATGATTTCTTGGCATTATTTAAAAAATAATGTAATAAATATATTGTTGGTGACACATCATAAAAAAGGTTCAGGCAACTAGTATATTATACATACATATTTTACACTACTAATACTGATATGATCAATATACATAATTTTATAGATATTAAGATTGTTGGAACTATGGCCTGTGCCACCTGTATGTTGGCTTATCGTGAAGTCGGGGGTACTCCCGACTCACGACAACCTTTGGAGGTCTAGGGTCGGGAGTACAACTGGAACAGCTTGTGGCGCGCGTTGTCGCAGGAAGACCGTTTTGGAGCTTCTATGCCCCAGGTCGTGCTCTGGTTAAGGTTAGGTCCATGTTGGAGTGGGCAGAGACTATCACTTCCGGCTGATTTAAATATTATTTGAATCTTCTTATGTTTTATGTAATTGGGAGCTTTGAAAAACTACCTTTATTCAAGAAGTAAATTAGCTCTTCTAGTTAAGGGAAGTAAATAACTTAACATATCTTAGGAAATGTATGGACGTTATCCTACTATATGATTTTTTAGAAGCATAGCAATGCTAATGTATGTGGAATTATTGTCATTTTCATTCTTTCACAAGATTTTTTTTTGCATTTATACACAAATCATTTTTGGGATAACTGAACCTAAAGAAACGGATGAAACATTTAAATTTTAGTTTTCTTGTTGCAAAAAGATATATTTGCACGTGTAGGGATAATAAACAAAATTTAAATATACAAACTTTTCATAATACGTTAGTTTTTTATTATAATGTAGAAAAGTATTTCCAATACCCTTCCTGTAACTGGGATTAATTTAATAGTAGATAGTCTCCCTCGACACTACAGTTTCTAACTGATCAGTGTCTGAACACACTTTCACCTCATTTAAACACAAGGAAATTAACTGTTAAAAGATCTCAATCTGGAAAAAAACCCAAAAAAACACCAAACTATGTTACCATCCAAAGTCGGAGAGGTGCCATATGCATATAAAATGATTTCTTGGTCTTATTTAAAAAATAATGTAATAAATATATTGTTGGTGACACATCATAAAAAAGGTTCAGGCAACTAGTATATTATACATACATATTTAACACTACTAATACTGATATGATCAATATACAGAATTTTATAGATATTAAGATTGTTGGAACTATGGCCTGTGGCACCTGTATGTTGGCTTATCGTGAAGTCGGGGGTACTCCCGACTCACGACAACCTTTGGAGGTCTAGGGTCGGGAGTACAACTGGAACAGCCTGTGGCGCGCGTTGTCGCAGGAAGACCGTTTTGGCGCTTCTAGGCCCCAGGTCGTGCTCTGGTTAAGGTTAGGTCCACGTTGGAGTGGGCAGAGACTATCACTTCCGGCTGATTTAAATATTATTTGAATCTTCTTATGTTTTATGTAATTGGGAGCTTTGAAAAACTACCTTTATTCAAGAAGTAAATTAGCTCTTCTAGTTAAGGGAAGTAAATAACTTAACATATGTTAGGAAATGTATGGTAGTTATCCTTCTTTATGATTTTTTTAGAAGCATAGCAATGCTAATGTATGTGGAATTATTGTCATTTTCATTCTTTCACAAGATTTTTTTTTTGCATTTATACACAAATTTTAGCTACTCCATATTTACATATATAGATCCTGTGATGAGAGTAGTATTTCGATCAACTATATCGTTAGGAGACATGAAATTTTGTTGTTTTTTAGCTCACCTGAGCATGCTCAGGGTGAGCTTTTAGGATCGATGATTGTCCGTCGTCCGTCGTCCGTCGTCTGTCCGTCGTCCGTTCACATTTAGTTGTTAACACTCTAGCGGTCACATTTTTGCCTCAATCATCATCAAACTTGGTCAGGATGCTTATCTAGTTGATAGCTCGGATGAGTTCGAACATGGGTCATCTCGGATGAGAAACTAGGTCACAAGAGCTAAAAATAGAAAAACCTTGTTAACACTCTAGAGGTCACATTTTTGCCTCAATCATCATCAAACTTGGTCAGGATGTTTGTCTAGGTGATAGCTCGGATGAGTTCGAACATGGGTCATCTCGGATGAAAAAGTAGGTCACCGGAGCTAAAAATAGAAAAACCTTGTTAACACTCTAGCGGTCACATTTTTGCATCAATCATCATCAAACTTGGTCAAGATGCTTGTCTAGGTGATAGCTCGGATGAGTTCGAACATGGGTCATCTCGGATGAAAAAGTAGGTCACCGGAGCTAAAAATAGAAAAACCTTGTTAACACTCTAGCGGTCACATTTTTGCATCAATCATCATCAAACTGGGTCAAGATGCTTGTCTAGGTGATAGCTCGGATGAGTTCGAACATGGGTCATCTCGGATGAAAAAGTAGGTCACCGGAGCTAAAAATAGAAAAACCTTGTTAACACTCTAGCAGTCACATTTGTGCATCAATCATCATCAAACTTGGTCAGGATGCTTATCTAGTTGATAGCTCGGATGAGTGTGAACATGGGTCATCTCGGATGAAAAAGTAGGTCACCGGAGCTAAAAATAGAAAAACCTTGTTAACACTCTAGTGGTCACATTTTTGCATTAATCATCATCAAACTTGATCAAGATGCTTGTCTAGGTGATAGCTCGGATGAGTTCGAACATGGGTCATCTTGGATGAAAAACTAGGTCACAGGAGCTAAAAATAGAAAAACCTTGTTAACACTCTAGTGGTCACAATTTTGACTCAATTGTCATCAAACTTGGTCAGGAAACTTGTCTAGGTCATTGCTGGGAAGAAATTGAACATGGGTCATCTCGGATGAAAAAGTAGGTCACCGGAGCTAAAAATAGAAAAATCTTGTTAACACTCTAGTGGCTACTGTTGTGATTTAAATATTCTGTTAATTGGTCTGAAAGTTTGTTTTGATGATTTCTAAGTCAAGTTCGAACATTGGTCATCTTGGATGAAAAAAACTAGGTCACACCGCCCAAATATGGAAAAACCTTGTTAACATTCTAGTGGTCACATTTTCGACTCAATTATCATCAAACTTGGTCAGGATGCTTGTATAGGTAATTGCTTGGATGAGTTCGAAATCGCATGTGGAACTAGGTCACCGGAGCTAAAAATAGAAAAATCTTGTTAACACTCTAGTTGCAACTGTTTTGATCCAAGTATCCTTGAAATTGGTCTAAAAGTTTGTTTTGATGATTTCTAGGTAAAGTTTGAATATGTGTCACCTGGGTAAAAAACTAGGTCGCACTGCTCAAATATGGATAATCCTTGTTAACACTGTAGTGGTCACATTTTTGACTCACCTGTCATGAGACTTGGTCAGAATGCTTGTCTAGGTAATTGTTTGGATGAGTTTGATAAATCAGGTGAGCGATCTAGGGCCATCATGGCCCTCTTGTTTTAATTGAGATAATCCTTGTCCATGATGTTTATAAGTGTACCTACCATATATGTGAACTACACATAACATCATACTTTCATACAATACTGTTTTACTCTTTCTTCAATAATTATCCACGGGAAGACCTAATTTGTTTTTCGTTAACCCTTTGCGATTAGGTTATCTTGCTGGAGACACTTTGGAGGACAGGATGAAAAAAAAATGTATATAAATGAAAGTAAAATGATTTCAAAAAACAATATGTTTATAAATATGATATAATGCAATTATAAACCATTTTTTTCTTCTAACGTTTTTTTAACTAGATTTTCAACGAAAACTGGGTTTTTGTAATGCCGAAGTCGGCGGGCGGGCAGACGGGCGGAGCGGGTGAGCGGGCAGACGGGCGGCGCTCGTGAACTTTTGGTTTCCGCTCTCAAACTCATTTTGCTTTGGCCCATTGACACCAAACTTGGTGTGTAGGTAGGTTATATCAGGAGGCAGCTTAGGATTGCTACCCAGGCGTCTGTCATTGAGGTCAAGTTCACTGTTACTAAAATAGAAATCCAGTTTCCGCTTTATAACTTGAGTTTGATTTGGCCTTTTGACACCAAACTTAGTGTATAGATAGCTTATATCAAGATGCAGCTTGGGATTGGTACCCAGGTGTCAGTGATCAAGGTCAAGGTAATTGTTTCTAAAAATAGAAATTCAGTTTCCTCAATAACTTCAGTTTGCTTTGGCCTATTGCCACCAAACTTGGTGTGTAGGTAGGTTATATCAAGAGGCAGCTTAGGATTGCTACCCAGGTGTCTGTGATCAAGGTCAAGGTCACTGTTACTAAAAATAGAAATTCAGTTTCTCCTCAATTACTTGAGTTTGCTTAGGCCTATTGACACTTAAGTTGATGAATGGGTAGCTTATATCAAGTGACAGCTTTTAATAGCTACCCAGGTGTCTTTGGTCAAGGTTAATCTATTCAGTTTTTACGAAATAACTTGAGTTTACTTTGACCTTTTAACACCAAACTTGCTGTGTGTCAGCTTTGGATCGTCACTTAGATATCTGGCAGCAAGGTCAAGGTCATTTGCTTACAATAGAATTTTCAGCTTCTACTCAATAGCTTTAGTGCACTTTGACCTATTGATTGCTGTCACATCAAAACTTGGTCGTTGAAAACCTGGGTTTCGTCGCATTGCGGCGCTTCTTGTTTATATTATCTCATCAATTTCAAAATTTATACTATAAATCTAATGTGAAAATCTTATGTCTCCTTTTTTAATGTTTTATGATTTACTCTATGATTTGTATTTGTATGGTTATGCATAATTTGTACGATTGTTTTGTAGACATGAAGCTGAAAAAACATATTTATCCATTTAACGGTAAGATGCATTTCCCTATACCTTACTCAACATAAAGCAAGTGACTCCCGGAGCCAAACCAATTTTGACCTTAGGGTCATGATTAATACAACTTTGAAAAACTAAACAAAAAACTCCAAATGCATGCCAAATATCTAAGCTCTGGGCTTTGTATTTTCACAAAATATCACTTTTATGTTTTTCTATATAAGTTTTTCTGCATAAATCCCGGTCAGCATTTCCTAATTTTTGTTCTGCAAATCGTCTCTTAATTAGTGATTTGTCTGCCGACAATTTTTAATTTCTTTATATTGGTTCAAAAGATACAGAGCGAACACGAAATTTTAAAATTGGTACAAAATGACCTTAACCTTGACCTGAGGAATGTCACATCTGCGCTATGCTATTAATCTTCTTATGGTTAATATGTCTGCTATTTTGTTTTTGGCTTGCGGCCACAGCCGCAAACCATTTGTTTTGAAAAAGTTGTTCCGGTTAGGTGGTTTCCTGCTTACATTTGTTAGTGCATGATGGAACGGGAAACCAGTCTAGGTTTCCGCTGCAATCGTGACAATTCGGGCGATTCCGTCATACTGCGGAATCAGACGAATTAATATTTCTAAAATCTTAAGTTATATTTAGTAACTTCGGTATTCCCAGTTTGTTTCTATAAATAGGATGTCTATTTTTACTTGATTTATCGGTTTAAAGGGTAAGTAGAAGGAAGAAATAATAAATTATTATAAACGAAAATGTTCCGTTTCAATTCGTTTTCAAGACGCAAAAGTTAGTTTCTTTTATGATTGATTTTTGTCTTTATTAGTTTTATACAATAGAGAATGTCTATTGTAGAAGTAAACCGTCTCCAAAGGACGGTCCTACTTACCAAGAGATCGTGACCGAATCACACAGAGAATTAGTGCGAACAAGTTAAAATTGCATAGCTCTATCACATTTGTCTGCGATCGAGTTATATTTAGATCTACTGTGTCTTATATTTAAACGCAATTCTAACGTGGAGTTAAAACTACAGTATAATTGGTGATCGGTAATCTAAAAATAGCCCATGCATATCATTAACCTTACCACGTGCTGATCTACAGATAGCGCATCCTGTGTTGTCGGTATATCTGTGATCAATAGCCAAGTGACATAGATATTTTAGGTGTAACATAGTGATACATGCATATTAGTGGAACCACGTAACGAAGTCTAATAGTGCATTTACTTGTCTATAAAGCTGCTATTTAAATGAAATTATCAACTGCCAAAACGATGACTCTTTCTGCGAAAAAAAGTGAAAAATGATATGTGCATACTTGTTTCCCTTCAGTATGATAGATAGATTATTTCCTCCACGTGGGAGAGCCGGTACTTTTACGATTGATTATTTCTTTATTAGTTTCATACAATATAAGACAAGAATAGATTTCAAATCGTTTTTGACAAAATAATATTCGTTTTTACAAAAAAAGTTGTTACTGTTATCGTCAGCATGTTCCGGTTCAGTTATAATCAGTGGACTTCTGGTCCTTCTTTTGTCCAAATTTGCATGCATAACACTGGTGGCTCAAATGGGCACTGGTTTTCGTCCAGTATTTGGGTTACCCTACCTTCCCCTTTAAAAGTGAAACATTTTTTGTTTTCGAAAAAAAAGTCCAAAATAAACCCATATGATATACAAATAATAAAAAAATAGTGATGATAAATTGACCTGTGAAAACGTAAGTACCTTGTTTTTTACTAGTATATAAGGTCAATTTATTTTTATTATTCTTTATAATTATTTCTTTATCATAAAGAGTTGATTTAGGAGTTTGTTTTTTTTAAATCATTTTTAAAGGGATGGGATGATGGCACAACTGGGCAAGCCTTTCCTTTTAAAAGGAAACTTTATTATTTCCTTCCAACGATTAATAAGATACAGACCGGACACACACACACACACACACACACACACACACACACACACACACACACACACACGCACGCATGCACGTACACGCGCGCGCGCACACACACACACACACACACACAAAACAACAACAACAAACGGACGACCAGGTGTATAACATTATACACTAACTACTTTTCGGGCATATAGTAAAAATCTAAAAGTAATCGTAAAAATGCTAATTTATACCTTACCCATGATGAGACACTTTTTTTCTTTTAAACAATTGTTTTGAATACCATATGATAAGGTTTTTTTGTATATTTTAGATACGTTAATTCACTGTACAGTCATATTTCCGGCTACTATGCTACAGGCGGTAATGCGGCAGTGTTAGAACTTGACGCTGGTGACGTTGTTTACGTCAACGCCAATGGTGATGTGAACCTTAATGGCACTCATACCCGAATCTACTGCACATTCTCCGGATACTTACTGTTTGCCTCTCCTAAGTGGATAACAATTACAGGATAAATCATTCATGTTAACTTACATATGTTCAATATTGTATGTATTATATGTATTTTATTAACTTGTCAATTGCATACTGATTAAACGGTCAATGTACACACTATATCAATCTTTGGTAGATTTTTCGGTAAGTTTCGTGTGGTGTTCTCAGTTTCTTTTATGTTCTTTGTTATGTTTTTAAAATGTTTTCCACTTTTGTCTTTTTTAAATAACATGGTTTAAGAATTATTATTCAGAATTCATTCGAATTTCAATCAATAGACGTCATTTCAATGGGATAAAATACAATATAACAGCACAATTTTTTGGAATGCCCCGCTAGATGGCTCTGCATTATCGACTTTCAGCAGAACATTCATTACACAATATTAAAGAATGCTGCGCTAGATTGCATTGATAGCTAAGCCTTCCAACAGAGCATTTTTACTCTATATTAAGAAATTCCCCGCTAGACATCCCAGCAGAACATTTCTAACACTAGATTTAGGAATGCCATGTTAGATTGCCTAGGCAGCTGAGCAATCCAGCAGAGGATTTGTACACTGTATTTTTGAATGCCACGCTATATAGCTCTGTCAGCTGAGCATTCAAGCAAAGCATTTTGACTTGTATTTCAGAATGCTCTACCAGATTACTGTACCAGCTGAGTATTCCAGCAGAATATTTATAACACTATATTATAGAATGCTCCGCTAGATTGCTCTTCTAGCAGCTAAGCACTCCAACAGAGCATTTTACACTATATTTAGGATTGCCCCGCACGGTATTCGAGCAGAACATTTACAACCACTTTATTTAAGTGTTGATGCCGTCGTGGTGGTTTCGGTACGAATCAATTAAGTATGAATAATTTAGTTCAGACATGATTATCTCCCTTAGACATTTTTGCGCCATTTGTAACGATTGTTCAACGTTTTGGGGGGAAAACAATCTTCAAAGAGTTTTCTAGTCTTAAATAGTGGCAAAGAGGTTTGATATGCAGAATTGTTTGCCTATTTAATTGTCTTTTGATAACATATGTCAGTGAAATATTGTATTGCTGCTTTTTTAACCAATTTGTTTGATATTTTATGATTCAGAATTCGATTGTATTTTTGTCTTTTCAGTTTTCACGTGAGCAGCGAACAGTACAATCGAATTACAGAAATAAACTGAATTGAGCTCTCAGTGTATTATCTTTGTCATTCGACCAGGTTGCTCGCCATCAGCTCGATACCCTGAAAGGCGGCTGGTCGCCACAGTGAAAACTCTTGACGCAGTGACGACTATAGTATAGATTCAGTCGAAAATCTCCTCAGCAAAGATTGTCATAGAGATTACTTAGTAAACTTGGTTAAAATTTACTTGCGGAATTTATGGTCTTTAAGATATTTGACATCCATGAGTCTCAGTATACTTCTACGACTACGGTCGTTTCTTTTTTAAAGATACTTCTTGTTTTAAGTGTTTTGATGATGTCAGAATCAATTAAGCGCAGTGACGATGCGCGATAAAGTTATGCACCTGCAACCTATGACTTTCGGGCGTTTTCGTGTGTTTACAAATAGACAAAAAGGAAATACAGAGATCTGAAATTTATTGGTTTTCACAGGTAGTTTATAAATTTGGTTTGGTTGGCATATTGATATCAAGAAAATAAGGCCATTTCCATTATAATAAAGTTATTGTACATAAACTGGATAAATTATCAGGTAATTTTGGTTACTTAATTATATATTACGCGGGTTAAAAGTGACTGTGTCAGAAAAGTCAAATCAAATGATTAGTTTTTTTTTTTAAACATTTGTATTTGATATATATATGAAGGAGTTTCATGTTATACACACTTAGGGTCACGTAAGCCAAATATATATCGAGATGGTCTGTTTTTATCAATGTTTACGGGTGTACAAACTAGCCTGGACAGAAACGCTCTTAAAGTGGCTAACATTCTAACAGAAAGTCATAATCTTTCTTTTGATAATTTGTCAATTCTTAGCATATTTTTGCAAAATTGAGATGTTAATTTATCCTGTGCAATTTTTTTCTGGATAAACAAAATTATCTATACGGTACGTGCATCGAAAAGACTTTGTGTTGACATGCAGCTACTGACCAGAATCAGATTAGATACGACCAAAATACAATATAAATACTGCAATGAATATGAAAATATTTAGTCTCCTTTATGTAATGCATGTAAACATGATCTGTTGTGTCGCTCACTGTTGAATTTCATAGATAAAAGGTTGCCCTTATTTTCATATTAATTATTTTAATATAATGAAAATTCTCATTGAAGTCATGGACTTCATTTTGTTTTAACGTATTTAAAGTATACTATGTAACTACCTACGACATTGGTAACTTTCCCATCTTGGGAAAGTATTGTAAATTTATATTTCAATCCCTTTAACATGTAAGTTTAACGTCTTCATTTTGCACAAAGTACACTAAGTATCAAGAGTGATTTCGATTTTTCTGCCAGACTGTTAGCCACATTTTAGTCATTTAAGACTTCCTACCATCATCGTCACATCGTTCCTCTTGACGTTTCTAATTTCTGTAGAACATTAAGGTTTAACACAATATTTGCGTAAAATTCTTAATCGGTTGATTACACACGATTTTGGTATCATATGGAGGTAGATACATATAAAGCATAAAATAGTTCAGACAAACATAAGATCCACATGCTTAATTAGAAAGTACACTTCATACCCTCGAACTGATTTTATTGGATTCATACACAACTGCAAGACCTATATCAGACTCGGCTAGAACTTCGTCCAGCATAGATTTGACAGCTTTGAACTCGTCCAATGGAATTCAGTATTGAACTCAACAATGTATAATAACCTCATTTATAGTCAAAAATTCAGACCAATTTATGTAACATTGTTTTTAAAAACACGATGAAATAACGCGAAGAAAAAAGAATAAATAATCCATTGTCTTCAAAACTATGTGTTAAAATTTAACATAGATATATATTTACTGTGACGCACAAAACTCCATCGATTCTATGACACTGTTACAAATCTCGATATTTTGCTGCATTATTGCACATACACGTACTTGAATATTCCATCCTGATATAGATGTTGTTATGTATTCCAAATAGCAAAGTATAAAATTTATTGACAAGAACCATGTCTTTTACTTTAAAATTATAATGTTTATGCACATAACAACGTTCAGAATCAGAGACTTTTTTGTTATATATACACCAATATGCATAGAATGTTTTCGTTTGAATAAATAAAAGTGGCACATGACAAGGCATATTTAGTTTTGACATAATAATGTATAGATTTTGTTTTCAAATTAAAAAGCTTATTTTAAGCGCATGACAAAGTATAGAGTCTGCTTGCAGATTCAATGTTTTTTCAACGGCACATGACGGTGCACAGTAATTTTATCAGAGTAAATTCGTAAGACAGAACGTAAGTTACATGTGAAACATTTGTATTAACCGGAAATTAAATAAGTTACATGTATAGTTAAATACATATTCAATATTTGTAAATGATATAAAATGAGCTCATTGTAAACTAGTCTTCTTTAATACAATTATAATGGCAGCATTTGAAGATTAAATATATACGGTTTCTAGCATTTTTAAATACATGTACATACATTATTCCTTTAAAAATCGTTGCATCTGTCTCCTCCGTCGTGTGTTAAAGCAGCTTTTTCTGTTGGTTGAACAAACGGTGACAAACTAATGCGTTTCGGTTAGCCATGACCGTTTTGGCTATACATGGTAAAGCGATTTCACATAATGTGATATCATGTGAAACGTCTATGACCATGAAACACATTAAACCACGAAACCATGCGATCTACAGCTTACATTAATAAGCACGATTAAACTTATTTAAAAGCCATTCATCGTCCTGATGGCATTGTGCAATTTTAAATCTTGTTTGGTATGGTATGCCATCAGAATACCAGTCCTGACGTTTGTTTTAATTAATTCTTATAAGATCTTCTTCAGTTTTTGAAAGAACAAAAAAAATGTAGATCTAAGATGACAATATAAGAAGTATGTACGAAGATATACAGTTTATAATTTGATTTATTCATTGTTTTATAAATGAAAACAAATGATTTGCGTCAAAGACTCTCCATTGCTTTCGTATATCTGCAAAGTAAAATGGAAAAAATGTAATTATGGTAACAAGTCAAATCATCCAAAACAAATCATTTGCATGTAAGATTGTTCAAAGTTCAGCTGTCACAACTAAACCGTGCTGAAAAACTGAATCACTTCATCATTTACTGCAAACCTATCAAATATAGCAAAAATGAAGAGTCCAAATACATGCTCCTATTACACCATTAAACTGAGAAAAAAATATTACTATTTACCTTTTCTTCAGTTATATGTCCGTCTTGGATATTTACAACAATAACCATATTGTCCATCAGCTCTGCATGATCTAAGTCTTCTTTCATCAGTGTTACAAAACTCTTTACACGCACAGTCAGGCTCTGCCTCCCAGCAACATTTATTTCCAGTCGAGTACCCCAGCTCACATTCACCCTCGTTTACATCACCGTCTAAACAATCGTCATATCTACATTCACAGAGGTCCTCATCACCTAACAAGTTCAGATAATTCATTAAAAAGTAAATGAGAAAATGTTGCAAAAGATGCATTGTACTTGACAAGGAATTTATTTAATCATGTGTCAATATTGCTTTTGTCATTATTGTTTCTTTGCTTATCTTTTTTGGAATATTGTAACCGAATGTGGACAACGCCCGCAAAGGCAGCTTTGCGGTCTTAATAAGGCTCGTTAATGTTGGCAAAATTCAGCAGAAAATGTGTGAGCCAAAAAGTAAATATTTGAATATATTCGAAATTACTTTTAAGTGATCATTCTTAATCTTATTATTGACTAACATTGTTTAAAAAGGTTTTTGCTTTTAATGATTTAGGATATGTCAACTGGGTATGACCTTA